ATGGATGGATGGATGGATTGTGATGAGTTGGATGGATGGATGGATTGTGTTAAGAGTTGTACGAGCCCCCAATAAAATGATCTGAAAAAAAGAAATTGGAATGGAGGCAGATTGAATTCATTGTTGTTGAGTTGGAGGCTCAGGGCAGAGCCAGTCTTCTTATCCTCCAAACCCACATTCCAGTTACTAAATCAAAGCTCTTCTGAGTAGGACATCTTTAGGCTTCTGCAAGCATGTCATCTTTCTAGTCTGTGACCCCACCTTTCAATTCCCACCTGGTGGTCATCCGTGCCCTTTGAAACCCCGGCTGGTTCTTTCATTCAATCACACGTTTATTTGGCAAATATTAACTAATTTCTTCCAAGTTCAAGGCACTGTACATTTCCTCATATTCAAAATTACGTGTGAACTAGTCTTGTTTACATTCTTTAAGGACATAGGGATCTCACTCTAGCTTCTGCACATTGCATAAAATACACAGAGCTTTGAACCAGTTTTCCCCAGTTCAGTTATGGTTTAGGAAGCCCTGAATTTAGAAATGTGGGTATACCAAAGTAGTTATGAGGACAGTGATAATTACCAGTTCATGCCCTGCTTAATCTCCTACTTAGAAAAAAAGAAAACAAGAGTAGCATATATGTTGCATAGCAACCAAATCTCTTGCATTGCAAAGTCAGAAATAACTGTGCCCTGCTCAAAGACAGCCAATGACTGAGCTATTTTGAATGTGTGATGAACTCCACAGTCTTAGCAATAATCTACTCTTATGCATCAGTCCCCTGCATGGACTCACTTGGCCTCTTCTACACTTGGGTCACTACAACATGAGGAACTGTATTAAAGTGTCACGGCATTAGGAAGGTTGAGAACCACTGAACTAGAACTTTCTTCCTAGTCTGTTCTAGCCTGTCAGTTCTGCTAAAATTTTTACAGCATAGGAGGGGAATATCTGACCCAAGGGCCATAAAAGGCCTACAAAATCATCAATACTGGCTAGCATCATATGCCATCACATTAGAGGTGACTTATTTATATGTCTGGCCAAATACACCAGGCTAATTTTTTAGTTGATAATTCTGTATGGCCCATAAATCAGGTTATACATATCCAAATGGCCCTTGGCAGGAAAAAGGTTCCTCACTCCTCTTACAGCATCATAGTGAGCACATAAGCCTCCACTGGGAGCTGGGTGGTAGCTGCACTTAAAGTACATTGGTTAGAAAGTGAACCCGGGTCTCCGGCATAGATGGGAAGAATTCTACCACTGAACCATAGAGAAGCTAATAATAAAAATAAATTCATCCTTGAGACTCTAACAGCCCTTATGATGATATAATGAATAAAGTTCTGGACTAGCATCAAAAGCCAGCTCTGCCACTGATTTAGGAAAAAAAACCTCTCTCAAGTCTTAAAATGCCCTGGTCTCTGTTTCCTCAGTTACTTAATAAGGTGGTTAATGTAAAGGGCTCTTTTCAGTCTGGAATGACTCATAAAACATGACATGAAATGCATCAAATAGTTAGCTTTGCTGATTTAGAAGGTAGAACCACAGGTTAACATTAAATGTGTCTCACTGTCATTTTGGTGGACTAAGTTCTTTCTTTTCTGGTCACTGATCATTTGGAATCTACTTTTGCTCATTTGCATGTGATTTTACTCTCTCCAGGTTATAACTCAACTCACACCATCGAGTCTATTCTGCCTCATAGCGACTCTATAGGCCAAGGTAGAACTGCCCCAGTGGATTTCTGAGACTCTTTAAGGTAGTAAAAACCTTATTTTCTTACCACAGAATGGCTAGTGGTTTCAAACTTCTGACCTCAAAGTTAGCAGCCCAATGCCTAACCACTATGCCACCAGGGCTTCTCTCTCCAGATTATTGCAAGGGGCAGAGGAGAGGGAAGCAAAACTTACTGCCATCAAGTTGATTCTAGCTCATGTCTTCAGGGAAGCAGATTACCAGATTTTTCTGCCAAGGCACTACCGAGTAGGATCAAATCATCAACCTTTGCATAAGTAGTTGGCACGACCCATTTGCAACACCCATGGACCTACCAAAGACTACAAACTTCTTAAAAGAAGGAACTCCTTTGTATAGGAAGTTCAATCTTCCTATAAGATATTGTTGGTATTTTGACTCTGGGTACCAACTCTACCAACAGCACCCTAGTGGTGCAACAGTTAAGCATTTGGTTACCAACTAAAAGACTGGCAATGTGAACCTGCTCCTCAGCCCTGAGGAAGAAAAATTTGGTGATCTGTTCTTGTAAAGATTACAGCCTAACAGACCCTCTGGGGTAGCTGGACTCTCACATGGGGTTGCAATGGTCAACATTAAACACAACAACCAACTCTATTAAGTTCTTGATGGTGCAAACTGTTTGTGCTTGGCTAGTAAACATTGGCAGTTTGAATCCACCCAACAGCTTTGAAGAAAAAAGACAGTGATAAGCTTCTGAAAAGATTACAGCCTCAACCCTTGGGATTGAGGTTCTACTGGGAAGAATGGAGTCACCGTGAGTCAGAGAAGACTCAACAGCAAAAGATTTGTTTTTACCAACTCTACCTAAGTTGGGGGTTGCTTGGTGCAACTTACAAGCCACACGAAGCCTTGCTTTCCATGGGCACTAACCTTCGTCAGCTTGCTGTGTATTGGTGAGGTGATTAATTTTATGATCTTTCCATTTCCTCCCTCTGTCCTAGTTCCCCTGCCATCAAAGACTTCGTCGTCGTCGTCGTGGATAAAGTAAAACCAATTATTTCCAGTTCAATAATGCTTCATGAATACTTGAATTCACCTCAAATAGAGTGACTCTGAAATGTTGAGTTCAAAGTCAAGCAGTTGGGCTCAAGCACAGAATCCATCCACTCAAGCCCATTGCTGTCAAGTGGATTCCAACTCATAGCAACCCTATAGGACAGAGTAGAATTGCCTGTTTCCAAGGCTGTAAATGCTTACGGACTTGACAGAACTGCATCATTCTCCCTAGGAGTAGCTAGTGGATTTGAACTGCCGATTTCTTATTTAGCAATCCAATGTTTAGCCCACGGAATCACCAGGACTCCCTAGTAGCAATACACCAAAAAACTCAATGCCATCATCCATTGCTATCAACTCATAGCAGCTCTATAGAACAACGTGGAATTGCCCGTGTGGGTTTCCAAGGCCGTAATTCTCTACAAGGGTAGAAAGCCTCATCTTTCTCACATAGAGCTGTTGGTGGGTTTGAACTGCTGACCTTGAGGTTAGCAGCCCAACACATAACTCACTACATCACCTGGGCTTTTTGGTGGGAATAGGGTGTCATGTTACTAGGGTCCCTGACGATGAACGAGGTTTGTGCTCAACTAGTAAAGGGAGTTGAAATTCACCCAGCAATGCCACAGAAGAAAGGTCTGACCATTAGCTTCTGCAAAGACAGCAGCCAAGAAACCCCTACGGAGTAGTTCTACTCTGCCACACAAGGGCTCTCTCAGGCGGGAGTCCGCACAGGTGTTGATTTTCGGTAAGACACCTGCGGTGGAGCGCAGGGCGGGGTGTGCTGCTCCAGCATTTGGATGGGTTCAGAAGCAGCCTAGTTGGAAGTAGGGTTCAGGGCATTTTTTTTTAGAAAGGTCATGGCACGGCAAACATGCTGGTTTCACGTACTTTTTTAGGGTTGCTAATTAATTTTTTAAGCACCCTTGGGTGAGAAGTGGTTCTGAACGAAGGTAGACATGGTTCCAGAAGGTCTCAGAAGCTCTCCTCAGAGGGGGTATGGAGGCGCGGAGGCCGGCGGTCCGGACCGAGGGCACCTCACTGTGGCCCGGGATTGGCACAAGGGCAAGGTCGCCTGTCTCCCACTGGTGCTCTCTGACGTGACAAAGGCGCATTCCTCGTCGGGTCCGAAAAGCTCGACATCCTCCAAAGCTTAGGAATTCGCCTCTGACGAAAGCGCGTGTGAAACCCGCAGGCTCCACACGACGACCTGAGATGCTGAAGAGGTTTTGCGAGCAAAGTCCTGGCAAGAGTCTTGCAATATCCGAGGCACCACGACAAAGGAAGAGCTCCGCGCACCCGCCGCCACACCCAGCCAGCGCCCGGGCCCGCGCGCCCGGGCTGTGCGCACGCGCATGCGCAGGCCACCCGCGCGGCCGCGCTGCGCAGGCGCCGTGGTCACTTCCGGAACCTGTCAGCCCCTCCCTCCAGATCTTTCGTCGCCGCCCCCGCCCGCCGGAGCTTGTTCGCGTCGACTGACCAGAGTCCGCGAATTCTCCGCTCCGAGCCGGCCCGGTCCACCCCGATCCCAGGTAAGGGATTCCAGGTAAGCTGCTGGCTCCGGCCGGCTCCACTGCGCGGGCCTCGCGCCCTGTGATAGCCCGCGGGGGCGTAGGCCGCGGGGCCCCGAGGCTGAGGGGCAGGCCGAGCCCCCCGGGGCCTCCTTCCTGATGGAGGTGGGGATCTCCGTTCTCCTGGGTCGTCCTGAGCCTTTGGGGTCCCCACGCGAATAGATCGCTTCTGAAGATTGCCGAGCCCCAGGCCGCCTCCGGTCCAAGTGTTAACAGCTTCTCCTGCGCCCCCATATACCCTTATGTGCATCTCTAGTCCGGGCATTTATCGTTGTAAAATCGGCAGAAATGCGGTAATCTGTCACAAACCAAGACCCAAACGCACTGCTGTCCGGTCGATTCCGACTCACAGCGACCCGATAGTACAGAGTAGACCTGAACGCCCCCATGGGGTTTCTGAAACTGACCGCCACATCTTCCCCTTGCAGAGTGGGGGCTGGTGGAGTCAAACCGATGACCTCTTGATTAGCAGGCCAGCGCTTTAACCACTGCCCCAGCAGGGCCCCCTCTGCGGAGTGGGCACTGGGACCATTCATTTTCTCTAGGTCTAAAATGCGTCACTGCACACAGTTGGCACCCATGACACCTGTCCGGGGACACCCTCAGTCTGTCAGTAGTTGGGGGACCTACCTAAACTTTAGAAAGGTCTACCCACCCCCTTCCTTCAACATTTTCCTCTTCAATGTCCCCTTCCCTAATGTCACAATTGCACATGCCTTTTGCAAACTTGCTGTCAACCCAAAGATTGGTAGTTCTGATCCACCCAGCACTGCCCTGGAAAAAAGATGTGATTCCTAAAGATTACAGCCAAGAAAAACCCTATGGGGCCGTTCAATTCTATAACATGAATTGGAATCCATCCTGAGGCAACTAGTTTCGTGGTGTCATCCTTTTGTTGGGGGGAAGGGGAGGGTGTTCTACACTTGTCTGTCACATGAGGTAGCTGTGAATCCCACTTGCTTAGGAAAATCTTTTATGTAGCACTTTGCACATTCCAACCATCAGTTGATTGCTACCGTTCTAAACCTGTTTATTGGCTGCCCACTGCTCCTCGGAAGATTGCTCTGTGTGTGTGTTTCCTCTTCTGCAAAAGGAAGAGGATGACAATGGCTTATTCCTGGAGTTTTTGCTGAGGATCAAATGAGTTATTTGCATAAACTGTTTGGAGTCACTCCTGGCTCACAACAGATGCTCAGTAAATATTAGCTATTATTATGCTTCTGAGAAACCCATGCCTTCCTGACCCCACTCACCCTCAGACTTAGGACCAGAACGGTACCAGGTTTTATTTTTGTATTTCTGGCCCAACTTGGCCCCTGCAGCTTTGAATGTGAATGTGATTCGTCTTTATTAGCTGCCATGGAGAAGTCCTGACGCCCAGGGACCTGGAATACAGCCAAACGACCAATCAGGCACCCCCCCTTGTGATCCGCTGCTGATCTAACTATTGTGATCTGTAAGGTTGTCTGTCACTGGCCGATTTTCAGAAGTAGATCACCAGGCCTTTCTTTTTAGGCCATCTTAGACTGGAGGCTCTGCTGAAACCTGTTAAGCATAATATTCTCACTGCTAGCGGAGTTGATTCTGACTCGTAGCCACCCTTATAGGACAGTGTGGAACTGCTCCTGTCCATTTCTGAGACTGTAAATCTTTACAGAAGTAGAAAGCCTCATTTTTCTCTGAGGAGCAGATGGTGGGGTAGAGCTTCTGACTTCAAGTCGCAGTTCACCAAGTAAACCACCCTGCCACCAGGGCGCCTCACTCTGATGGCTTTGAAACATGAAACATGGATGCAATGCTAGCCTCTTTTTGTTTTAATGCATTGCCTAAGCTTCCAAAGTGATCTTGGTTCTTCCCTCTGTAAATCTTTCTAGCCTTTTGGTTTCAAGTGGCGGTTATTAGTTGCTGTTGAGTTGACTCCAACCCCTGGTGACCCAGCATGTGCAGAGTTGACCTGCTCCCTAGGGGTCATGACTTTTCTGGGTATGTTCTAACCACCAACCTTTTGGCATATGCAGGTCAGCGCTTAAATGTTCGTCGATCTGCTCCTATAAAGCCTAGATTCTAGAAAACAGTATGGGTCGGTTGGGTTCTGTCAGTTGGAGTCACTCTCCGTTGACATTATCTCTGTGACAAAGCAGAGGATAGTGGTCAGGCAGATGTTTTTAGCCCCATTAAAGAGTGAAGCCGAAGGAGCCCTGGTGGCGTGTAATTGGCTACCCACTGAGCTGCTGACTGCACAGTCAGTGACTCAAACCCACCCCTTGCTCCCCAGGAGAAGGTGAGGCTGTCTGCACCCGTAAAGATCGACAATCTGCAGCTATGTCAAATTCAGTGCTTGCCCCACCCATGGCTGCCACAGAGACACTTTAACTCATGGGCCCTGTTCCTCTCTGCTGAGCCTCAGGGATAAATTTTGTTACAAACTTTGAGAGAGAGATTTACTGCTCCGGAAACCCAATGGGGTAGTTCAACTCTGACCTATAGGGTCTTATGACTCAGAATCACCCTGGTGGCAGTGAGTTTGAGTTTCTGGAAGAAGTGGAGTTAACTGTTTGGTGGCCTCCAACCACAAAGGAATTAGTTCTTCTATGGCTCACAATGACAGGCGAGGCCCCTCTGAGAAAATGAAGACTTGCCTTGGACGGGGTGGGTGGCACTATTTGGATCCAGTTATCTAATGGTGTGCTGAAACGTTGGTGCTGCATCAAGAAGTTTAAAATGGCCTGCTGGTGAGGCGGGTGTCTGGAGTTATACCTGTATCCAGGAACACTGGGGAGGGTGGGGTGACCTATAAGAGGGTTGGGCTGTGAGAGCAATTAAAACAGCAGGTGAGTCAGTCCTAAAGACTGATCTTAAACCAAGAACTGAGACTCCATGGTGTGAGTACTTTGAATGCAGCTCCCGGAAGAGGAAGACTAAGGATGTAAAGCTGCTCCAAATGTTTCCGGGTTCAGAGGGTAATAACTCCTGCGTGCTCTCCAGGTGGTGGGTCTAGCAAAGGGAAGGAACGGACTTACTGAGCATCTGTTTGAGGACTAGGCTCTCTCCGACGTGCTTTCACGTCTGTGGGCTCATTTAACCATCCTACAGGGTTGCTATGAGTCGAAACTGACTCCATGGCTGTGAGTTCTTTGCCAACAGCCATGTGCAGTTAGTGCAGGCTCCATCTTAGAGGGAGAGGCACTGAGTCACTTGCTCAGGGTCTCAAAGCAAGAGTTTTCATTTATGACAAACGCAGGATGCAAACCCAGGCCCCCTGGGCTCCAGAGCCCAGGCTAAGCAGGCATCTGAAACGTTTGTGTGCTAACAGTGGGGATCAATGCTTGTTTTGTCTTCCTCTGTGCTGGACAGTCAACAGGTGATCAGTAAGCAACTGCTCTGTCTAAACGCCAGCACTGGTTTGCCTCCCCTGTTTTTCTCTCTATCCCCTTAAAGCAAAGGTTTTCAGAGTTCATGTCAACATTAACCACATTTTGCGAGTCAGTTATCAGAATAGAGTCTCTCTTTCTTGGTGTCACTTTCAATCTCCTAGCGGACTATTAAGGAGCCCTGGTGCCGTCGTGGACTACACGTTTCGCTGCTAACCTTAAGGTCAGCGGTTCGAAACCACCAGCTGCTCTGGAGATAGATGAGTGAGGCTTTCGACTCCCCTAAAGAGTTATAGTCTCAGCGGTGTCGGATATGAAGAGAATAATAATTTAGAATTTATCATGGGTCCATGAGGGTGGTAGGGTGGGGGAAGGAGGGAAAAAAGGGTTGCTAATACCAAGGACTCAAGAAGAAAGAAAATGTTTTGAAAATGATGATGGCAGCATATGTACAAATGTTTTTGATACAATTGATGTATGAATTGTTATAAGAACTATAAGAGCCCCCAATAAAATGATTTGCAAATAAAATTTTTTAAAAGCAATCTTAGAGCTACTAATATCATGTAAATTGAGTCAGAGTATGCGTATGTGCTTGTGTGTGTGCACACTCACCCATGTAAATATGTGTATGAGATGTATAAAAATATGTATTATTTTGCTACTCAGTCCACTAAAATTAATTTTTTTTTAATTTTCAAAATAAAAAGAATTCTTTATAAAAAAAAAGTTACAGTCTCAGAAACCCACAGGAACAGTCTGCTCTCTCCTAGAGGGTCCTCATGAGTTAGGATCAACTCCAGAGTGAATTTGATGGGTGTCCTTTAAGTTGAGTGGCACTGTTGGATAAACATTAGGCTGCTAACCACAAGTTGAGCAGTTCAAAACCATCAGCCAGTCCCTTAGAGAAAGATGAGGCTGTCTGCGTCTGTGAAAAGTTACCACCTTGAAACCCTATGTAAGGTCCCTGTGAGAGTTGGAATGGACTGGATGGCAGTGACTTTGGTGTTTGGGGTAGCTCCACAGGACAACATTTGCCCAGGGAGAAAGCACAAGGCAGAGAGGAAGTAGGAGGAGCGCTGGTATCTTGTCAGGATGGCCGTCAATGTCACGAAACAAAATCGGTGCAGATTATGGAGCCCAGGCCCCCTGGGCTCCAGAGCCCAGGCTAAGCAGACATCTGAAACGTTTGTGTGCTAACAGTGGGGATCAAAGCTTGTTTTGTGCTGGACAGTCAACAGGTGATCAGTAAGCAACTGCTCTGTCTAAACGCCAGCACTGGTTTGCCTCCCCGTTTTTCAAAATGGAAAACCAATTTGCTCTGTACACTTTGACCCAAATCCTAATAAATATTTAAAAACCAGAGGATGATTGAGACTGGTGTTCTTATGGATTTACTGAGTTGGATGGATACGAGCGCTCTACTGGGTAGGTTATAAATTTGACAAACATGTCGTGGGTCACAGATTTAAAATAGCATGTGATTGATTATAAAGGAAGTACATACTTGAGTGCACTTCCAAATACTATGGAACTTGAAGGATGTAACAAAATTAGAATTGCAGATTGAGAAGCAATTCTGCCCTAGCATGGATGCATATAAAACTCAGTTGATGAATGAGAAAGCATTGATTTAAAACGACTTCTTTTCCACTAGACAAGAACTGTGTGCTTTCATTGTATATAAATCTTCACAGTGCCTGGCTAACTTGCAGGCTGGTTTTATCTACTTGACAGATTAACTGTCTACAGGCTCTAAAATGTGGCTTGTGAACCAGATGGGTTTTGATTAAGGTGATCTTTGTAACACCCCAAGTTGTTTGGAGTGTTGTCATGGTGACAGGGACAGCCTAGGCAGTTTTGACTCCTAGGGACCATGTGTGACAGAGCAGAACTGTCCTGCGGCTTTTGTTGGCTGTCATCTCTGTAGAATCAGATTGCCGCGTCTTTCTCTCCAGAAGCCAAGCCTGCTGTGACCAAGCAGCTAGGGTAAGGCTGATAGCAGAGACACAGAGAGAACCATGCAGGGAGCATTTAGAAGTTTTAGTTTTTAAAAGCCAGCTCAACAGTCTGATTTTTTTTTTTTAATTCTATCTCCAATTAGAGGCTCTCTCTTTTATGAGTTGCGATTTGCTTTCCAGAATTTGTAAATGGAAAAACGGAATGACCTACCCATGTAACCGCCAGAACGTGCCACACGGACATTTCTGTGCCAGCGCAACGTGCCAGCTGTTGGATTGCAGGGTCTGCTTATCTCCCTTACAACAATTAGCGAGGCCTTCTGCTCCTCCCGCCTCACCTTTAGAGCCCCTTCCAGTCCTGCCCTGTCCCTGTCCTAGGTCACTGGGCTTGTGTTTAAAGACCATTGGAACTGCAAAGTGTAGTGTCTCTTGGTAATGATCATCTAAGGCAGCAGCTCTCAACCTGTGGGTCGAGACCCCTTTGGCAGTGGAACGACCCTTTCACAGGGGTCGCCTAATTCATCACAGTAGTAAAATGACAGTTATGAAATAGCAATGAAAATAATATTATGGGGGGGGGGGGTCACCACATCATGAGGAACTGTATTAAAGGGTCGTGGCATCAGGAAGGTTGAGAACCATTCTAAGATTCTAAGGGCTGCAAGAGGGGCAGCCTGAAAGCCTCCTTCCTTATTTCAGTGAATAGAAGCCCTGGTGGTGTAGTGGGTTGGTTTTTCATTGGATTGCTAACCACAAGGTCAGCAGTTCAAAGCCACCAGATGAAGCTTTCTACTTTCAAAGCACTATAACCTTAGGAACCCACAGGGGAAGTTCTCCCCTGTCCTAGAGGGTCACTAGGAGTCTGAACCAACTTGATGGCAGTGAGATTTCAGAGACTAGAAGCCTCAGTGGCACGTTAACTAAGTGCTCAACTGTCAACCAAAAGGTTAGGGATACAAACCCGCCTGAAGCTCGGACTCTACAGGAGAAAAGACCTGGCTGCCTGTTCCCATAAAGATGACAGCCCCGGAAACCCTCCTCTCAGTCAACATGGGGTTGCTGGACTCCATAACTACGTTTCAGATGATGATGATTTCCTCAGTGGGTCCCGAGCTGGGAGTCTACAAAACCAAGAACTTGATCTGCTTTGGAATTTGCTAGTGTGTTGCAGATCTATGCTTTTTTCACTTAGTTAATAAAAAAGCTTGAAGCATAGTTCCCTGAACTTATTTGGCCTACCACCCTCTGGTCAAGAAAAAAAAAAATTTGTCACACACACACTCTCCTTCCATCAATTAAAAACTTTTGTACCATTAGTCCATCATCCAGGATCAAGGAAGTGTAAGTATCAGCTTTGAGAGCCCCCTTGGATCAGTCCATTGCCCTCCCTGGGGTACTATTGCCCTTTTGGGAAACACTGGTTTAAAGCATAGTAACCAACACCTGCATACACCCCCCCGGTTCACTACCTAATGCTTTGCCACATTTGCTTCTTAAGGATTGAATATTTGTCCTGAATGACAGACAGTCACAGAAGTCCTCACAAGGCTTTGAAATACATCATCTCTATCTCCTAGGAACTAAGACAGTCTTCGCCCTAGCTGCAATGCCCTATCATATCGAAGAAAATGAGAATAATTTCAGATTATCTATAATGTGTAGTCCAAACTCCTATTTCCTCTTGTGTAAAAAAGATGTCTTTTTTTGTTTTTAATGTGGATTCCACCCAAGGGTTGGTTGTCCATCATTTGAAATACTTTGTTGTTCATTGCAGCTCTCTGCCCTTTGAGAACACTAAGAATAATGTCCCTGCATCAGTTTTTACTAGAGCCAATCACCTGTCATGCCTGGAACAGGGATCGAACCCGTAAGTAGACATCTATTTTGTTCCCTTTTTTTGCGTCATGGGATACTTCACAATTAGGCTCTTTCAGGAATCACAGATTTCAGAGTCATCTTGTCAAAAGTACTAATTTAAGTCTACCAACACAGTTCAAGAGGGAGCTCAGTCAGTCCTTTGACAGGCAGGTTGAGGAACTGAGACCCAGAGTGATGAAAAGATCTTTCCATTGGTTCCACACCAAGTGAATGTCAGGCCCTGCTAGCCCCCACCTCCCTGTCTACAGCCCCACTTGGAGGACAGCTGGAGGCAGAGGCAGCTCTCCCTGCCCATTGGCGTCCTAAGGAGCGCAGTTGCGCCCGCTCTTGTGTCAAGTAGTCAGACTACGCAGACCTTGAGACCAGCTGTGACCTGATGGAGTATCCTGCTGTCTTCCAAGCACTTTGTGTGTGACCCTTATATTTCCATACGGAATTTGGAATGAGCTGGTCGGTCTCTGCAAAGAAGCCAGCTGGGATTTTGAGAGAGATGTATTGCATCTGTAATTGTTGTTTGTTGTTTTTATAAAGCCATTCTAACATGGTTCTGTTTTATTTTTAAATATGCCTTGAGCGTGTGAACAAATTACAGTTGATTGTTAAAAGACCCCACAGCCATTGAGCCGATTCCGACTCATAATGACCTATCGGAGAGAGTGGGGCTGCTCGAAAGGGTTTCTAAGGCAGTAAATCTCTGAGAAAGCAGACTACCTCATCTTTCTCCCGTGAGCAGCCGGCGGGTTGGAATCACTGACCTTTCAGTTAGCAGCTTAACACATAACCTGCTATCCTGCCAGGGAGCCCTTGGCGGTAAGAAGCTAGACCTGAACCTCTCTTCTGGGTGTGGGAACATGTTTCCTAGCGAACTGAGAATCGAGAGCTCCTGATTGGCTGAGTTGCTGATACCTTCTTTCTCTACTTTTGCATCGAAAACTAGGTCTTGGGTTCTAGGTCTGTCTCATAGAAGTACAAGTTATCATAGTCCTCTTTTAATCTACTTTATAATTTCAATGTATGAAGTCAAATGCTTTGTTAATATCTCATTACAATTTGGAATTTATAACGTTCTCCAGGTTAGATTTGAATTTTGTATTTGAAAATCTTCTATGCATATGTGTTAGGAAAATTTACATATGCATATAACTGAATTCTTCCCATTTTTAATTGTTCACGGAGATTTTGCTCTTAAAAGCAGGATTTTGTTTTATGATCTATATTGCCTTACTGTGAAAGAGAACTTGGGATATGTATTTTATCAGCAGAATCAAGTTTTCCTGATAAAAGGTGGTGAGTCCCAGATTAGAGTTTATGACCTCTTTCAACATTTTAGAAAGGCTACCCAAAATTCAATATTTACCTGAACTAATAATATTGCAGAGATGAATTTAAAATGTCTTTTAAAATAGATCTTAAAACGAAAGGGGAGGTGGGGAATCCTTTGCCTGCAAGCTGTCTGATCTCTGCTTCAGATCTCTGTCCTCCATAGGGTTTTCAGTGGCTGGTTTTCTGAAAGCCAATTACCAGACCTTTCTTCCAAGGTGCCTCAGAATGAACTCTCATATATGGGTTAAAATGATAGCAGCTAAGTATAGTAACATTATATATTTCTTCTAGTTAAACTTTTAATTGACAGTTGTGTATGTTTCTAGAAAAACCCATTTTAAATAATTTTGCTTGCCTACAAAACGTTTTTAGATGTGGGTTTCTGGTAAAGATAAAATTAATAAAAGGAATGCTTCCAGGGTAAACAGTGGGACCCACTTTGCTGAGACTCTTTTCTTACACCATCTTTCCATCGAGTTTTTAAAACACCAGCAGTCAGCTCTCTCCTCTTTGAGGACAGTTTCAGGTTTGAATATTAACAATTATGTTGGCTTCTTCCTTCAGAGATCGCCCTCAGCCCCAATAATCATGAAGTTCACATCTACAAGAAGAACGGGAGCCAGTGGGTGAAAGCTCATGAGCTCAAGGAGCACAATGGACACATCACAGGTAAAGGACGACACCTGGGAATGCCAGCTCCTCTTTCTAAACTGAGCCCTCTTGTTTCAGTAATGAACCCAGTCACATAAATCTGCGGGGTCCCTTTTGCCCTGCCACCCTGACTGAGTCTTCTCCAGAAAATTTGCGAAGCTACCACCAGCAGGAGCTCCATTTTCCCCACGGATACCTGCGCCACAGAGAGCGCCATTCCCTGCCCGGAGGACTAAAGCACTAGGAGGAGGAGATGCAACGTGAATGCACAAACTAGACAACATGACAACTGGGCGGAAATGCTGTTCCCAAGTGCAGAGAGAACACAGTATGTCCCGCAGGGAAGACATTTCAAAATACAGAAAGGACAAAGAGTAACTTAACACACACCCATGTTCCTGCCACCCGAAATTAATAGTGCCTCAGCTTTTTTCCTCTCTACTAGGAAACATAAGACACCAAATATGGTGGCAAATGAGGGTGAAGCTCCCCTCCCACCACCTTTTCTTCGCCCTTCCTCCCCAGTAGGCAGATCTGGTTCAGCAGTATCCTAGTTCATTTGTAAGTTTTTCCATCTGTGCCCTGGCTGTGCAACAGTTAGGCACTCAGCAGCTAACCTAAAAGATCGGTAGTTCCTACCCATCCAGCTAGATCTTGACCATCTATTTCGGAAAGATTCCAGCCTAGAAAACCCAGTGAGGCAGTTCTCTGTCCCCTGGGGTTGCTGTGAGTTGAAATTCACCAGACGCCACCTGATACCTGTATGTGTTTGTAAACATTCTTGAGGACTATTGATTTCTGTTCTTAAATGCTACATACGTGTTGCCACGTTATACATTTTCAACCTACTCTTCCTCCACTGAAGAACATCGGGGTGATTTCTAGCTTGATAATCACAGTGGGAGGCTGAGTTGTACATCCCTGTACAGCTCTCTGTGCTAATGTGGACATGCTTGCGTGGCACTGCCAGAATGTACGGGTGTGCCCAGCTGCAGCCGGCCTCGGTTCCCTTCATCATTCCACTTCTCCACGTCCCCCTTACTTGATAAGGGAAAGCGGGTTTGATTTTTGCCTGTGTGACAAGTGCAGGCTGAGCTTACTGTCCATGTGGGGGTCAGCCATGTGGATATTCTCTCACGGCTTCCCTGTTCACCCCCTTGTGACCACTGTTCAAATGCGCTCCTGTCTCCTGGTTGGTTTGCAGAGAAGGAGTCGATCTTAAGGCACAAAGGCAGAGTCCTGGACGTACAATAACTCATGCCTTTGATGAAACTTACCGATGACCAGGTGGAGAGAGTTGGAAGGCAGAGCAGTGCCAAATTTTATTCAGCAAGTGTTAGATGAAGAGGGCAGAGTAAGAAGTAAAAGTGGAGACCTTTTTATGGTGGTTTTCTGAATCTGCTGAACCAGATTTCAAGAGTTTATTGCTTCATCTGAGTAGTTACTTCTGGTGTTTCTTGAAAACCCATACTCACTTTTTGATCCGTTCAGACAGGGCTTTTGCCCTTTGTTCTTAACTACTGTAGTTCCCTTCGCACCCTCTTTTCTAGCCAGATTGACTCAGCCACTTGCTTTGAACAATTTGGCCGAACACCCCTGGAGCTTCTGAAACACCTGTTGTCCCTGCTGTCTTGGGTTTCCCCGCGTCTTACAGTGACATTTGCATTTTGGTAGGCAGCAAAGGGAATAATTGTTAAAACGATTATTGGTTTGTTGCTATTGTTTTGGACTCTACGCCTGCCTCTCAACCCCTCAAATTCTCACTCACTTTAAAAGATGGCCTCCCCCTAAAGCAGAAAATAACTGAAAGTGCTTTGGCCTCCAGCGCCCCAACAGGTGCCATCTTGGCAGCCCCCAGCAAGCACTTGCCACTGACCCTGCTTGTTTCACCCACAGCGTGTGTGTGATCCCAGTATGTATCGGAGCTCAGAGCTCAGTCTGCTACTGGGCCAGCCCCAGGGACACAGTGGCTGTTAATGGGGCTGTTGCCTTCCCACGCCCTCACTTCCACCAGGCTAGGGCTGTTCTCCTTAAGAGCCTTTGCCAGTGCGCCTTCTGGCCGGAGCACACAACTGCTCCTGTTTCGAATGGGAATTTGACATTGGGAAATACCATTGAATGAGGAATGGCCAAGATGAAAGACCAAAGAAATCGCCAAAAATGTCAAATTCTTCGATCTTGTTTTCCCCGACTTGCAGTCTCTGTTGGAGTCCCGAGCCCTTTATCCTGGGGTCTTCTTCTGATTGACTGCTCACAGCACAGGTTTCACATCTGGGAAAGGAAAAATTGTTCTTGAAGAATCTAAATATAACTCAGTCATGGTAGGAGACCAAGGATCAGACCTATTTCCCCAGCAAAGGTAGTGACTACAGGAGCGGGAAAGTGACCACACACAGCTCTCTGGAAGAACAGTCCTTATTACCGAGAGAAGGAGCATGGCAAACATCAGCGTGACAGCAGAGTGGCATGTCCTGGCTTGTTTGGGGATTTTTAGTTGATTCTTTTGTGTTGAGCATTTGGTTGCTCCCTCCGTCCAGGAACATCCTACACCTCCCACCACTGTCCAGATTCCACTGCTGAGGCATGACACAGACCTGTCGGTGGGGGGGGCTGGGACTGGAGAAGGAGGTACCAAGTCCAATGGGCCCATTGAGCGAGTCACGTTGTTGGCGCTGATACCACATCTCCCCTGCAGGCATCGACTGGGCACCCAAGAGCGACCGCATTGTCACCTGCGGGGCAGACCGCAATGCCTACGTCTGGAGTCAGAAGGACGGTGTCTGGAAGCCCACCCTGGTGATCCTGAGGATTAACCGGGCAGCCACGTTCGTGAAGTGGTCCCCTCTAGAGAACAAGTTCGCTGTGGGGAGCGGAGCACGACTCATTTCGGTCTGTTACTTCGAGTCTGAAAATGACTGGTGAGCCACATTGGAATGTGCTTTTCCCCCTCTCAACGCTATAGAATTACTGTTTGCGCTGCTGTGTCTGGGGTCAGGCCCCCGGTGAGACTTCCTGAGGTGCTGGCTGTGTGAAAACCTAACTGTGAACGCCAATCACCCCCCTACACACACACCCCGTTAGGTCACCTCCTCTCCCTCTAACTGTGCACCCTGCCCTCCCAGTGCACTCTGAGCCGGGTCTTCGGTCTCACTCGTTGATTCAAGTGCCAGCCAATTTCTGCTTTGATCTGCTAACTCGTTTGCTCTGTAAGCTGGCATTCTAGAATGCCCCAGCTACCGTCTTCTAACTCTACTATATATATATATACTATATATATATATATACACAAAAGATTTTTAGTGCCCTGAAAAATCATTTTAACTTTCTCCATCTTATTTCTTTAAAACATCTGGAATTCTCATAGGCGGCCATGCTTTCTTTAAACTTATTTGTTGGGCAAGTTTATGTCTTGGTATATGTTTTACTTGGTTAAACAATTGGAAACTAGGTGCACCCAGCTCGTGCCATGGTATTTTCAACAGCTTTGTGTGCAAAGCTGGACGATGAATAAGGACGATCCTAAGAAAAATGGATGCCTTTGAATTGTGGTGTGGGATAAGAATGTTGACTGTGCTGTGCACTGTCAGAAGAGCCAATAGCTCAGCCTTGGAAGCAGTGGAGCCAGGATGCTCCTTAGACGTGAGGCTGGCGAGGCTGTCTCAAACACTTTGGACATGTGACCAGTCCCTGGAAGACATCTTGCTTGGTAGAAGATCCGAGAAAAAGAGGAAGATCCCAAGTACGTTAGATGAACACAGTGGCCGCAATAGCAGGTTCAAATGTAACCATTGTGAGGATGGCACAGGACTGAGCGTGTTTCATTCTCTTGTACGTAGAGTTTGTACAAGTCGGAACCAACTCGACTGCACCCAACACCTACCCCCACCAACCACCCACCCAACCCCATGTCGAAGAACTCCTTCTTTAAGTGAGAAGCAGCTCTGCCCTGTCGGCCTGCATGCAACAGACACGAACAGCAAACAGACACCCCGCTCCAGGGAACTGTCCACTAGTACAAACCGGGCAGTGTTTGCGGAACCCCTCAGAGGAACCCAGAAACTTTACTCTGCCTCTGTCTTGCTGTTTCTACCCAAAGGGGGCATTATTTTAGATTGTTTTGTCACAGTAAAACCTCAGAAATGTTCGTCATTTACAGAAAGAATCAAATGATGAGATCACAATAGACTCTTTTCTCAAGTGTGTGCAAAATAAGGCTGACAGAATGCCGCCAGTGGAAAAACCAAGACTTGCTTGGAGCCCTGGTGAAACGAGGTGAGAACCACACGCCCTGGTGGGCTGTTCCTCCAGGGCCGCAGCTCCTTGCAGTGTGTGGGGAGCCTTCCTCGGCGCTGGGGCATGTTTCCCTCAGCACTTGTCGGAGAGAGAGGCCAATTGGGTTTTACTGCACCGTATCTGAACTTGGGCATGGTGTCTATT